ATGCACAACTTTGAACACTTCGATCGCAACGGAATTCTCGATGCTTGGAGCTCGCCGGTGTGAGCCAAATCCGCAAATTCATCACCCACATACAAAGAACAATAAACCCAAACCGCCACCAACCCATCATCACCACCAAACAAAGCTCTTTTTGCCCAAATCTTCAAACCTAACAACTACGGACAACTCAACCACAGGAGACCCAGTGAACCAGAGCAATAATTTTATTGAATATTTGAAATAAGAAACTCAAAATTCATTCTTTTTTTCCTAGTTATAAAAGGTGGCCATGTATTTGTTCTTCCGTGCAAACACAACACCCTGTTTGTGTTTTTGTGTGTGTTGATTTTCTGGGTCTTTTGTTTTTTAGCATTATCTCTTTAGTAGCTCATGAATCCAACTAAAATTAAATTAGCTTTGAGTGGGTTTAGAGAGAGAGGGTTTACCGATTCAGTAGAAGGGAGGAATTATTTGATGCTAATTTAGAGAGATGGAGTGGGTCTAGAGACAGAGACCTTTGATCCATCTCTGGCAAATCAAACCCAGTTTTCGGCTAATCGATATCTTCGTTCGTGACGCTCTTGCTCCGTTTACTCCGATGGCCGTAATTGCCCTTCGCTTCAGCCACTCCTACATATTCGGGGACCAAGAATTCTTATTGCAGGCATGGATTTGATCGCAGTACAAATTTCCCTCTCTAAAACTCTAACCCAGTCTCTTTCTCTCTCTACTGTAAGGTGTGTGTGTGTGTATATATATATATATAAATACATCTATGCATATATGTATACGGGAAAGAGACTGGGTTCGTCCGGCGCCGTTTCTAGGACTGCAGAGTTCTGTGATTTGGGGAAATTTGGTTAAAGCCATGTTTGGGGTTAAGGGCACTCTTGTCATTTCATGCTTTCAAGGGCAGTATGGTCTTTTAAAATAATTAAACAAATTTTGACGGCCAATTCTCACCGGACCTTGGCCAGATGGGGTGATCTGTAACTTTTTTGCATAGTTTAGGGGGTTTCTTGCATTTTTGGCAATTCATGGGGTTAATTGCAGGTTTCTCCATAGTTTAGGGAGATTTTTTGCATTTTATCCAAAAAAATATATAAGAAGGTGGACAGGAGCCAAAGTATGTCACAAATAGAAAACAGAACAAAGATATAAATCTAAAATAAATTATGGGCAAATTTCTCAAAACCCCCAAAACTATCAAAAAATGATCATAAAACCCTAACCAGTTTTAAAAACCCCCAACAATATAAAAACGTTATCAATTTACCCCAACTTTATCAATTAGCCGTTAAGAGTATGTGAAATGACTAAATTACCCTTATGATATGCCAATTTATTTAAAAAAACAAAAATTTATAATTTACAAATTACCAAATTATCCTCTATTTTTGGGTTTTGATTTGCTGCTATCATCTCCCTTATCTTCCCCCTCCATTGCCTCCTCTGCCCCCACCTTCAATCCTCCCCTAAAATAACATACACAAACACACACTCTCTCTATATATATAACACTATATGTATCTGACTTGGCTCAAGTCTCATCCTTTGAAAGTCCTCCCATTCCCAGTGCAAACTGTTCACGGCGATTGGTTAATGGAGGTTCGTTGAAACTGTTCACGACGGAAAACATGGAGTTTGAACATTGAAGCTCAAATTGAACTTATGGTTACTGCAGTTGGGTCGAGAAGATTGAAGCTTCGCTGTCTTTGAAGTTCAACGGAACTTCTCGCTGGATTGACGCACCAAAACTGAAGTTTGCCTAAACATGAGCACGCCAGAACTTCTGGGTCTGTTAATGGGGCTCGCAGGAACTGTTTACGGCGATTGGTTAATCTCTGTACTGAATTGAAGCTCACCGGAGTTCATGGTGTTTAAACTTTTGGGTCTTGCCGGTCTTCATGTTGATGGAGTTCTTCACCGGTGCTTGAAAATTTCCAATAAGATCAAAATTTTGGGTGGAGCTCATGTATCAAAAAAAAAAAAAAAAAAAGAAGCAAATTTGGTGAGTTATGAGTGTCATGAGTGAAGAAAATTGTGGATCTCGTCAAACTGTTGCGGGAAGTGTGGCTTATACTTAAGGAGATTGTAACTGAGGGAGCAAGGGTGTGGTTTGTGAGCTAGTCGAGACTGGGAGTGCAAGTTAATTTAGCAGAGACTGAAGAGCCAAATTCCTTCACAGATTACCTCTACTTATCTTCCTGTTACTAGTATGCTACTGTTTCTATGTTAAAATGGAAATGAATTATTACGTCTTGGCATGTAACAAAACAAATCATAATTGCTGGACTCTATGTGCTTATCCGGTAGTTCCTACCTTCTAATCAACATATAAACACACATACACTGTAGAAATTGATTAACTCATTTTCAAATGTAACCAAACAATCTTAGCATTCTAATAATAATTTCCACATATATTATAAACAAATGGCAGTGAAGGATAAATACCGCATTAGAGCTTTCATTGTACTCCGCCTCCATGAACGGCCACAGCTTTTTAAAAACTTGAGGACTCCGATACACAGACCTAGGTGGTGCCTTTCCGCCGCCGCCGCCGCCATCCTTGCTAACAACAACCTCTAAGAGCAAACACCAACGGCTCCACGAAATTCTGTAGCTTCGGCTCCGAACCAACTCCCAGGAAACCTCCTCCCCCGCCGACAACACAACCGGTAGCGTGCTTACTGCAGCCATGGCGGGACGGAGGCGAAGACGGCGGCGACGGGGTGGACGACCTCCCGCTGCTTAGACAGCTGTAGTCGTGCATGGTGGTGGCTGGCTAGGGTTTATTACGGAAGTAAAACCCTAGAAAATGCTAGGGATCTGATTGATTGTTGCGCACTCCCAGTTAATGGCATTTCAGTTGTGGTTTTTGAGGAATTTGGTGTTTATTTGTGAGAAAGAAAAAAAAATGGAGATGAAGAAGTTGAGAGGTGAAGCAAAAATGGAGATGAGTACGTAGACTTTTGTGGGTTTTTACTATTAGAAGCTTGGGGTATTTTTGGTATAACATATTTAAATACACATCACTTGTTTGGCACATGTGACAATAGGGGTATTTTCGTCACAAAAGTTAATTTGTCAAAGCAATTGTAAATCACGCGCTGGGTTAACGGGGCCAATTGACAGAGTTGGGGTAAAATGATAACGTTGTTATATTGTTGGGGGGTTTTTAAAACTAGTTGGGGTTTTATGATCACTTTTTGATAGTTTTGGAGGTTTTGAGAAATTTGCCCATAAATTATTTACAAATGTATTTTCTTTTCCCCAAAAACGAGTTTTACCAGTTCTAATTTTCCTTTCAGGATCCATCAACTTATGCGGCAGGGAGCATAGACCAGCCAAGTAGTTGAGGTGAGCCTGCTGGGGCTGAATGTTGACTGGGAGAGAATGAACGGACTTACCGTAGGCTCAGTGGGGCCCCCACTGAAATCTTTTTTGTTTACCTTTATTACCTACGGTTTTGATTAAATTATACTAATGGCCCCAAAAATTATTTATTAAAATTCACTATATATCAGTTTTGAATCTTCAAACTCACCTATCACTATGACAATTTTGCAGTCTTTTATGGGCCTTCAAACCCACTATATCTAGCCTATGTGAATATTGTAATTTTTGAAATAATTTTTTGAATAATTATCCTTTCAAATTTCTCACTTTATATTCTTTCAAAATTGAAAAACTTTGAATAAAAAAAAATAGTAAGTTAAATAATATTTTCTTAATATCAAATATGCTCTCAATACATTTCACAAAAAAAAAAAAAAAAGGAAGAAAGAAAGCTATTAATAATGAAGAATAAAATTGTTATGGCTTAGTGGGGCCCCCACATAAATCTTTTTTATTTACATTTATTACCTATGGTTTTGGTTAAATTATACTAATGGCCACAAAAATTATTTATTAAAATTCACTATATATTTTAACTCGTCCAAGTTTTGAACCTTCAAACTCACCCCCCCGTCATTTTGACAATTTTGCACTCTTTTCTGGGCCTTCAAACCCGCTATATTTAGCCTATATGACTCTCTTGTGAATATCGTAATTGTTGGCAACATAACTTTGGTTCTTTATAATTTTTTGAAAATTTTCCTACAATTGATTTTTTTTTTTTTTGGTAGGTGAATTTTACATAACTTTCACTGCACTTGACCACAACACAATCGCCAACGCACAAATCAAAATCATTCATCCAATCAATTGAGCTAGAGTCATATCTAGTTCAAATTCAGCATTAATGAACAAACGGACTATTCACACCATTTTTGTATCAGCAGTGCTGCAAGTTGTGATTCTATCTTATAAGTACATAGTTGTAAGCAAATATCAATCTAGTATTATGAAATTACTTACTATAATTGAGATCTATAATTGAGATGGTGGTGTAAACTGAAATATTATGGAATTACTTACTATGATTACTCTTTTGAGATCGGGTATAAACTCAAAATTTTAAATATTTCATTAGGAGTTGTGCGGTGAAAAGAAAGGTTGAGAAATGCAAAATTTAATCAAATTCCGAATTATAAAAATTAATTGTTTAATTACTTTTATTTCACTATTATATTGTTTAATTTTTATTTAATATAGTCATTTTAAATATAAGACTTATAATATTAAAGGCCCTTTGACCTAACTCTTGAAGAATTGTCCAAACTGACTATAAACAAATGGTATAAAAAATTTACTTTGGTAAAGGAGGCTGAAATGTACAATATGCAAACCTGGTTTTGAAATAATTTGACAACTATGTCAAATTAAGTAAACTTACCAGCTTGTGTTGCAACTTCTTCAATATTATCTAAATTTCGTAAAATGAACCAACATTCCAGGCAGGAGAAACATATGCTTTTATAACTATGTGATTAAAAACACAAAACACCTAATAACTGGAATATACATAAACACTCATTGTCATCCCAATGAAAATGAGTGAGCATACCTTGTTCTTTGCGGTTGTAAAAACCAAACAGGATAGAAGAGATATATAGACCAATTGTTCCACCAAAAAAAATATATAAGTAGGTGGACAGCAGGCAAAGCATGTCACAAATAGAGAACAGAACAAAAATATCAATCCTTATTAAATCTAAAATAAACTCTTTACAAGGTATTTTCTTTGCCCCCAAAAATGAGTTCTAATTTTGCTTTCAGGATCCATCATCAACTTGTGCAGCAGGAAGCATATGCCAGCCAAGAAGTTGAGGTGAGCCTAATGGGGTTGAATGCTGACTAGGAGAGAAAAGGCTCAGTTCGACAAATGCCCCGGAGGATTCACTTCTCTCCATATTCCGAAAAGAAATGGATCCACGCTTTGTTGACGCGAGAGAGTTCCTCCCAGGGCTACTTCCCCCCATAGTTTCTTCCAGAGAATTTTGGTCAGCGATTAGTGAAGTGGTGTCATTGTATTCGTCACTAACTCTTCTTCTAGCCTCTATATCTTGCAGATTCTTCAACGCTAAAGAATCCGCAACTGGGTAATACACAAGATTGAAAATACCCACCCCAGCACAACACAACAGCGAAAGAAAAGCCAAAAAAGCAAGAGTTTCAAACAGAAAATGTTCTGGCCTAGAAAGAACGGATAAACCAAGCAGTAGAACCCTTAATGGAAAGAAACCGGAAACAGAGAATATCAGTGTGTAAACTCTCTTTTGCAAACCCTTATTGATGACCAAATTTAAAATCCTCCTCCCAAGCCAGAACAAATAGGTTGTTAGAACAGTAGAGAACAGACCAAGGAAAATGGTGCTCAGTAAAGGGTAAGTGCAGAGGGCAACATCATCAAGGTCCTTCGTCTTGGCAGAAGCAGCTGTGCTTATAAAATAATGAGGTAATTTGTGCACAATACTCTCATCCTTGTTAAATTGCGGTCCAATTAAAATAACTACGAGCTGAAGAACAAACAGTGGGAGGCAGAAGAGAAAAACACAACCTGCTGTTTTTCCGTTCCATTTTTGGCTCAATGTCCCTAACTCTGTCTTCTGCAAGGAGCCACGAAGGAGAAACACAAGAGTCAGAAACAGGCAAGGTTCTGCAAACCCTAGGTTTGAAACAATGTAACATTTGCAAACAGTTTCCTGCCATTTCAAGTTAAGGGCATTCAATACTCTTCCCTCGTGTCTCAACAAATTCAATCGAACAATCTCCCCGAAACCCCACCAGATTGCAAACAGGATGAACGTTATCCTGATAATCCAAGGACCACTAAAATAACCAAGTTGAATAAAACCTTGACTGTAAACACGAGTACGAAAGTAAAAGGAGTACAGAATGCAGAGCAAACCCAGAAGAACCAAAATAGCAACAAGACAAATTGTCACCACACCGAGTGCATCAGCAACAAATCTCGTCAGGGGCATTACCCAAAGCACAGATTCCACGCATGCTCTCTGCCAGCATGGATACAGAAAAATCCTCCAGTATGTGTATGCTTCCTTCTCAGTGTATTATACAAGAAAGACTCCTGATTGTATGGAAAGACTCCTGATTTCACCTCAAAAAGACCATATAAAATAGTCACCGAGGATGAATAACAGTAGTAACACTACCAGCAGAAACCATAAGGAAAATACCCGTCAATTAATACACCAAAAGCAAGTATTTTCCTCCAAATCTACAACCACACAATTCTTCTCTGTGATCACCAATCAGAGAGTAGTCCTTGCAAAAAAAAACTTCACTCCTTCAGAACATTGATAACATTCCATGAATAGCATCCACTCCCAGTTCAAGAGTAACTTGTATTAGACTCGTAGTGTGGTATCAAGCCCAGATTTAAATTTTGAGAACCCTTAACGATGAACTCCAAGATAAACTGCCTACAATATAATAGGTACAAAAACACCTGTGAGTCAAAAATAAAAAGGAAAATGTAGGCAATTCAACCAAATATAAATAATGATAATTAATTAACAAGGGGAGAAAGAAAAAAGAGTGAAGAACATTTGTAAAGGCAGTACTGTAAAGCCATGCTAGCAGGTACTTCAAACAATCAAAATAAGAAATTCTATCATAACCAACCATGACTTCAACACTGCAACTTCCCATTTGAGTGGCAGGATATACCACCAAACAAGTATAAGACCATCTTGCAATGTTAGTGTCATGAAATAATCAAGGCCTATCATCTAACAATCACTATTCAATGTGATAAGGGCACTATAAAAAAGAAGCATTTATGAGTTTAACCCATTGACTCGAATACTCCCCATTCAAATTTTTAGAATCTCTACCTCCAGCATATTTTATCGAAACCAAGTTGCCTGCCTAATAAAGTCAAACTAAATTTCGACACTTTACCCAACAAGCTGTGGGCTTAAAGAAATGCATTTTATGATGAATGTTCTGATTGAAAATTAGGCAACAGTTTCCATAGCAGAAAATCTAACTAAGTCCAAAATTGCTCGAAGAACAGAAAGAAAAAAGGGGCAAAAAAAAAAAAGAAAAAAAAAAGGAAATTGGAACGATGTTACACCTTCCACACTGTGAATACAATTTATAATCTATAATCACTATTCCATACAAATGAGTACAGGCATAAGAGTTTCTTCACATTCCTAACACATCTGTTTTGACTAATTAATTAAACCTTAAAACATTTTATAGTTTTCATTTATTTGTGCATAGATAACACATATTTTGCCTTTATTGTAACAATCCCATAAACATTTGATCCAAAAGGAGCTTTTTGATTAAAGAGTAAAAATAAATATACAATACTCAAATTTGCAGCAAAAGCTTCATAAAAACCACCATTAATATCCAACTATTCTAACCGTTACATCAATACCTTCACTACAAATTGTAGGTTTCATGAACATCTTATACACATCTCTGTGCCATTAATTTTGGAAAGAAGAAGGGGGCACATACAAAATCACACTTCAAACCAACTGTAATTACAAACGAGGAAACAAAAGTACCAAATAGAAAAATTAAGTGTTCCAATCCTCTTAATGTAAAAAGCAAATGTACATTCCACCACTAAAATGTTGCAATCGGATTTGCCATGCACTGTTGCACATAAGCATTAAGAGCTATTAAAATGGATTGGTGAATATTCCTCTATTGTATTCCCAACAGAGAATTCTAAACAAATTTACAAGTAGTAAAAAAAGACAACACAGGTTAACATATGATATGTAACCTAAAAACCTTTAACACTAGAAAGAATGCCCACCATTTTCCTGTCAATTTTAAGGGCCATAATGGCATGCTTTTCTGTAGTTCCCTAAATTTCACCCACAAGTAGTACAAACAACTTAACAATGCCCATGTTCTATGAGTTCAAATATATGTATATTTATATTTACATGCCCATAAACTCACATACATAATCATATATGTAACAGGACATTCTTCGAGCCTTCTAATAAGTAAGTGTCCAATCAACATGCATATTTTCAATTCACATCCATCCAATCGGATAGTAATATTATAATTCTAAACATTTATAAGCATACATATAAATATACATAATATATACATATGGAGAAAGTCCATTACCAAAATAAAAATCTCATTTTAATTTCCAATTTTACTAATTAAACAATAAGCCACCACAAAACGAACAAAAACAATCAAAACATCACATGCAGTTAATTACGTGCTTTGCGAAGCAAATAACACACACAATCAACGAAAATTTTTGGCAGAAAAACAGGCATTGATCAGAAAGTGGAAACAGAAACCCAAACTTGAACCAAATCAAAACGAAAACAGTAATAGAACCGGAAGAAAAGCAGATCAAAAGAGAGCTTACGAGGCAGAGAATGTCGATCTGTTGAGCTCCAACTACCAATCTCGGACTCGCATAAAGAAAATGAAAACCCTAAGAGAGAGAGAGAGAGAGAGAGGAGTGTGTGTGTGTCTGTGTGAGAGAGAGACTCTGAGATCGTAAGGTAGAGGGGGGGGGACTAGAGAGAGAGAGAGAGAGAGACTTTGTTGGTGACAGGCTGTCTCCAGCAAATAATAAACCAGCGAAATAAAATTTTTGGAATAGACAGACAGTCTGTACACAGCTGGATTTCACAGAGCCTCTAGGCTCGGGAGGACGAGGGGGCTGGTTCGGTTAGTATACGAGCCTACGTGGCAACGTGCCCGCGGCGGCGTTTACGGAGAATGTTTTTTTTGAGTTTGGGAAGGAAGATGTTTAGTGCTTGCTAAGAAGTGCGTTCCTTCCATCCATTTGGTGCCACGTGGAAACTTCCCAAATAGACACATAAGCTTCTAAGAGTGTATATGTTAAGAATTACCCTTAAAAAAAAAACCTAAAACAAAATATTTATTTATATCTATATATATATATATATATATATATATATATATAATTTGAGAAACTTTTGTTATGGGCGGATTCGCTTCAAGCCAACCAGATTCATCCATAGTATGTCCATATTCCCGAATAAATAAATAAATTCTTAACATTCCAAAAGTTTATGTAAATGGTGTCATCAGCTATTTATATCTTGTCATTTAAATAAATATATATTATTTAATGAACCATATCATTATGCGTCAAAATTTAAATAGGCCGATAATAACATGTCATCAATAGAATTATTTTTATTTGACTATTTATACCAAATTTTTTATTTGTTACATAATTGACTAATTAAAAGAATAAGAAATTTTTTAAGATAAATTTTTTTATTTATTTTTGACAATAACACTCACACCAAATATTTGTAGTGAATTGCATAACTGAATAAGTTTTAATTAGCTATTTATACCATAAAGTAGGGGCTTCACTTTCTTATTTGTTGCATAATTGACCAATTAAAACAGTAACTCTAGCAATTTAATACAACTATTTGGTGCAAGAATTTTTTTTTTTTGGCAAAAGCTTAGGTAATTATTTACGGTACAAAAATAAATCTTACATTATATTCCTAGTGGCTAATGGGGGTGTCTTTATCAGGTGTCAATCTAGGACAACCCTATCTAAAAGTGGTTCCATTTTTTATTAAAACTTTTTGTAATTTATAAGTCGATCACATTTTTTGTGACAAGATATGGCATCTGATTCACACACTATTATTATCCTTGAAGGCTTGAGCTGGCTGTTTCCATATGCCAGTTGGATGCCTTGATTTTCAGTCGATAACTTGGTGCATTTTTTGGCAAATTGGTTTATTATTATGGTATCTTTTCTCTTTCTTAAATAAGTTAAGGGCCTGTTTGGAGGCCCATATCTGTTATTGTTTTCATGTTTTGGTTTCATTTTTGGGCCAATATCATGTTTGGAGTGGGCTGATGTGGTATTGAACAGTGTAAAAACATTATGAGATTTGGGCCAAAACTCATATCAAAGAATTGGTGATATTGGGTGATATGGTTTACTGTAGCGGCCATATCAACCCAAACCAAAACCATGTCAACCCTCATTTAACTATAGCGGTGATATCAAGTATAAAAATTCGCATATCAGAACTGGCCCATTTTTCAGCCTCACTCTCTCTCTCTTCGCGCAGCTCCTTGGAGGCGATTTCAGAGGCGATAACTTCATACAAACTCTTCCACCACCGATCTGGCATATCTCCTCCACCAGCTACCTCCTTCCATTTTTGGTATTGCTGGCCTTTCTTTTATCTCGTTCGCCAAACTCAACCTTCTCTCTACTTCTCTCTATTGACAGAACTCAAGCCCTAGTTTTCTATTCGATCCCTACTTCGACGATGGAATTATCAATATATCCCAGCCTCTCTCCATCTCATCTCATAGATAGATTACGGAAGATGATTCAGACCGAATCTCTCGCTCCACCTTCACTCACAGTCACTTCATGGTCGGATCGAAGCCCTAACCTGTGAAAATGTTTTCCCTCTTTCCGTCAAACCTCTTGCAGTTGGCCATCGGAGCAAACCCTAAGCCCTAAAGAAGAAACCCGAAGTCTGGAATCCTCCATTAGAGACGCGAAGATGTGTTCGGCGATTTACAGACGACCGCTGCTGCTAGGTTTGTTTCCAATCCATTTCTCTCTGTATTTATACACGTATATGTGTGTGTGTGTGTTTGTTCACAAAACTTACTCGGTCGATTAAAATGGATACATAAATTTTGATTCTTATTCTTCTCACTCCCTGACCCTCTTCGGCGATTAAAATGTTTATATATATATATGTGTGTGTGTGTGCGTGCGCGCTTTTCTGTGTATTGATCTGTTGTTTAATCGATTCTTGATTTTTTTTTCATTTGATGAATACATGACTCATCTATGCGATTTTGATGTTAGAGTTAGGCCAGAGGAGTTCAATTTTTGAAGAGGATGTGTACAAACAGGTTAGGGATTTCAATTTTGTTGATGTATTTACAATGACTTTGATGTTTCAAGGTAAGCCTCTGTTTCTTTGTTTCACTCTCTCTCTCTCTCAAGGTAAGCCCTATTTCTTTGTGTCACTCTCTCTCTCTCTCTCACACACACACGTGACTTCTGAAAATCGAGTGTCTTGCGTGGATTAAAATAAAAAAAATCTGGTTTTGGGTTGGAGTCTTACATTCTATTCGTATGTTGTTGGCTTGTTTACTCTAAATCAATTTATTTGTATTTGGGTTGCTGTTATTTGAAATGCTTAGTTGTGTTCCATCATATGTTTATAGATGGCTGATTTTGTTGAATTCTTTGCTACTTTGGATACATGTCAGTGTAGAAAAATAAAATAAAATAGGTCACCTTTGATTTATTTTAGATGTTCTGTGAAATCCAACTGTTATTGCTGGGAAAAACCACTCTTTATATATGAGTATCTATATATATTAAAATTTTCTGTGTTCTTCAAGGGGGGTTCTATGTTTTAGAAAAATATTGAGTTTGCAGAAATTTTTGCCACGGAAATTGGATTTTTTTCTAACTTAACTTCTAGAGTTTCAAGATTATTGGGTCTAACTTTATACAATCCTGAAGGCTCATTTCTGGAGTGGTCAAGTATATTTGAATTTTGTTGATGTATTTACAATGACTTTATACAATTGTTTAATTTGCCAAATAGCAAGATACATGGCTTTATTTTTAATTTCACATTTGACTGAGATACCTTTCAAATACTCATTCATTGCCATTCTGAAGATTGATTATATATATATATATATATGTATATCATGAATTATATTTGAATAGTACATCATTCAACCTAATAAATCAAATTTTATTTCATATGTTTCAACAATTGGGCCACCACCAATCTGGAAATGTCCATTTTTTAAGGGGAAACCATGCCGGATTTTCGAAAAAAAAAAATGAATTTAAACTTTGATTCCAAAAAGGCATGTGGTTGATTTTTGAAACTTGAAATGGATTTTTGAAAGAGTTTTGAATAGTGGATTTGAATTGAAAAGAAAGAAAATGTTAAATTATTTTAAGAATCCAAGTTGTTTTGACATGCATAGTTTTTGACTTTGAAAAATATTGATTGATCAAATTTTGTTTATTGTTTTATTTCATTGTCTTGAATATGAAATGCATGGATTGTTGAAGAAGGCCTATGAGCTATCTGTGCTCTGTGATGCTAAGTTGCTTTGATTATCTTCTCTCAATAAGGAAGGGTCTATGAGTTTTCCAGTACAAAATATATTTATCATCATCTTACCCAATCAATTTCAGATAGCACCTATTCAATTAGTGTATGTGTGTGTAAATTGTGTATAGTTTATGTTCACTATAACTATTGTAAATTGTGCATAGTTTATGTTCAGTGTGCTTCTACAAACTGCTCTTGGGTACTAAGATATATGCAGTTTTTCCTTATTGAGCAGCATGGTTAAAACATGATCATTACAAAAACAATTCATGAAGGACATGGCACCAGTGGGATTTATAGGACGCATTCTCCAGTTGCTACAACTTCAGGAAGCTAGTGATCTCTCAGTTAATCAAATAGAGGCCTATGCAAGTATAAAGAAGTGTGTGTACATTTTATGGAATGAATTTTAGTGATCTCCGGTTGTGTGTACTATTTTTAAGGAATTTCTAGCTCCCTATATGTGCAACTATATATGTGAATGGTGCAACAACAATTTATTAAGTTTGTGATGAATAAAAAAAACTTGTGGTTTGGTATGTTATTTATGATTGATTAAAATCCTACAAAATATTTTCAAGTACTTGTTTGGATGGCAATAATTTTTCTAGCAGGTTGTTTGATGGCATGCCTCTCTTTTTATTTTTTTATTTTTGTCGGGGTGATTTATTGTTCTCTCTTATAAGAGAGGGATCATCTTTGATTGCTCGCTTTTAATCTTTCTTCCTATTTATCAATTCTGCTTATGGTTGTAGATATATTGTATGAAATATTCAAAAGTTGGTTATCAAAATAAATACTCGAGAAAAGGGGAAACGGTCTCATGAGTTAACAATAAAAATATTAGTACTTTGAAGGATCTACAACAGGAAATTCAAACTAATCTTACTAAAGTAAACTCATTCACAAGAGTCAATGTCCATCATTTGCTTCTTGTTAGTTTCAACTACAAGGATCTCTCTCTCTCAATCATAATGAATTTATATAATATATATATATATATATATATATATATATATATATATATGAAACAAAACAAAGTTAAATGGAGTACAAGCCAAAAGAAAAAGATAAATGGAGTGCAAAGATCTCCTCTCATTGAAAGATTATTACAAAGTTAGATTTGTAGTTTGGTTGCCACTAATCATGTTTATGCCTTATAAACATCCCACATGATCTTATTTATACATGTAAATTTATTCATAATTTTTTTTCCCAACTCTTTAATGCAGAATATATATATTTTATTTTAACAAATTATCTGAAATTATAAAGAAAAATGGACTATTACATATAAACATATAATTGTATTCATATATATAATTATTCAAAACAAAAACAAAACAGTCTTTTACCACACAGATATCTTGTTATTGATTCAGAATTTTGACAACAAAACTAACTTTCCAAACGTGTTTTGTTTTCGAATT